AGACATTAAACGGCTACTGGAGAGAGAATTGCAAGATAGTGCGCAACTGCTCATAGACGAAGTGTACAACAGATGCTTGATATTGATAGAGGATGCATCAATTTGCTATTCGCAAAAGTAAGGAGTAATCGTGGCATCACTTACCATCACGTATCTTCGATTACGAATCAAAATGCAGATGCGTTGTCACCCGTGAGGGCTAAGATGGAATGCCTCGTTTCCAGTAAAAAGGGTCTCCGGTTCTCTACACTCACGATACGAAACACAGCAGCATTAAGCTGCTATTTTACGCTGGTATTCTGTGAGAGCGTGGTCCTTCTCCGGTCGAGCCGACCCATTCGTGCTACAACCATAATATAGCTGCAGCATGGCTCTACCACGTATAAAATATAAAAATAATAAATGCTGGCGGCTTTGTTGTATGAGACGGTACCCCACTCGCAACACAACTTGTTGTCGCTGAGTACTATAGGGTATAGTTTTTGTTTTTATAGTTTTAATCTCATAATACCGCCATCTATCTACTGCTAAATAAACTAATAATAAGTGATGAAAAAGAATACTTTTTTTCTTCCAGCATCAAAAAATGTCAGACTTAAAATATCCAAACCGGTGTCGGGATGATTTTATCGTTATTGTCACTTTTAGCAAAATGACTAACAGAACTGTGTACATAAAACTGATTATGACAGAATGTCTTTAGTTGAACATGTTGGGTGTCGATCAGCATAGCAATATTTCACCAACTTCTTTTTGTATCAAAACCGATAATTGAAAATTAAGTGGACTGTAAAATTTTCATATCTAAATGATGGAATAGTTTGATTGACTAATTTCAATGTAGATGGGGTCCACAATAGTGCAAAAACTTATTTTAGTGTTTATGAGTTTACATAAGCAAATACGAGAGCTGTGTAGCCCGCCGTAAGAACATGAACAAAAGAGTTCGATTCCCGCGAGGTCCAATGAAACTACTACTACTACCTACCTATTGAGCTTTTTGTGACAGTCCTGGTTTCATAGGTGACATGAGTGAATACTGCGAGACTTTCGTTTAGTAGCTGACAGTTTACAGTTTGAAGAATTCAATATATTTTGAACAATCCCCATCCCACTCCATTCATTCAAATTTTGAAAGTCCGAATTTTAGCCTCCCTCATAAATTGCCTCATATGACGGGTTGGCAACCACCCGCCGGCTAAGCGTGGCAATTATGGCAAATACCTAAGCCTATGTAGCAATATGATTACAAGCCTGATGATAGTCATGATGGTGATGATGATGATGATGATGATGAATAAAAAAGTGAACTCAACAAGTTCGATGTATTTAGTCAACGAGAATCAGTGTCCAATATTTTTTTACGTTCATCATGTCCAAGATATTTTTAACAAGCATTGTAATCGGATTTATTATAATATTATATGCCAATGTTCCATTGACAATCCAAATTCCACAATATTATACGTTATTGGGTCCAACAAACAAAATTTAGAATACAGAAGGTGGATCAATCTAGTCTACAATTTAAACATGTTAACTTATTTATATCACCTATATTTCGTAAATTTCATAAATTGATAACTAATCACTATCTATCGATGAGGTAACAACTGTTGTAGAGCCATGTCCTCATGCTCTTTCTAACTTTACACTAACTGAAAATTTATGAGATGAATCCAAGACATCTTTAATATTAACGCGCCAAATATTTAAGATGTATGTAAGAAAGTTGATTAAAGTTTTACTAAATACGTATGTATAGTATGAATTGGATACATCTTGCACATGCACTAGCCGCCGACCAACACGGACCGGATTTTATTCTTGTATATTATGTGTACATAAAAATATTTCAAAAAAAAATTGTGGTGTTTTGGATTATAAAAGAAAGTAAATTTTAACTTACCTACATCAAAATTATTTTGTAAGGCAAAGGCGAATTTTAAATTAACTTTTAAGAAGACTAGAAATGTTTAAATGTAATAGTGTACCAATAAATATTATATTTCTTAAATACAACATGTTTTTGTCGAATTAAATTACCTACATATTTTTTTATTCTGTGAAGAAATTGAAAATCGAAAAGAATTAAATAGTGTAAAATTGGAACACTTGTAAAAAATTGTACGGTTTAGATCAGGGATTCCCAAAGTGGTCGATATCGACCTCTTGGGGTCGAATCGGTTTCCCAGGGACATAAACGAAAACTGATTTTGGGGGCGACGAGGTCTAAAATCGACCCCTATTAATGAACAAAATTCTTATTTGAAACTTTTAAGATACTGCATAAGTTGTGTTACGTGTATCTAACTTAAGTATTTTTACGTAACTTGTATAATAATTGTTAATTACACTTGATATTTAATGAATTTTATGCCAATTTATTTTGTTAAATTTTGATGAGAAAATGATGACAAGTTTACTCATTTAACCAACCGCAAAGTTTTTAAATTGGTAAATATTTTGTATCAATAGGAAAAAACAAGAGAGGATTTTTTAAAGTAATTTAGCTATGGGGGTGAGGTTCATTTTGGAAAGGGGTCTCTTGCCCTAAATAGTTTGGGAATCCCTGGTTTAGAATAACTAAATACACTAACAACTACCAAATCTAAAAATGTTTTTTGCACATTTTGTACTAATCGATAAATTGTTAACTATTTTTATTAGTCCTATTTAAAACAAAATTAACTAGAAATTTTATAAAATTTTCTTTGTTTATATAATTAGTTTTGAATCACAAAAAGCTTTAGTTGGGTGTATAGATAATCAGTATCTAAATATGGCAATACAATTTCATACTAAATTTTTATTTATCCTTTTATAGCCCTTTTAAATTGTATTCTAATGAAACCTTTTGATATCATCTTGGATGGAAATTTTTAATAAGGTGTTTACTCTTTTGTTACCTGATATTCTATTTATTTATAAATGCTAATGTGCTAGTAACAATATACTACTGTATACACTACATTATCTATGCAACAGAGTCAATTTAGGTCGACTTTTTCATAGTGTTTAAAAATATATACATAGCAAGATGCATTTAGTTTTTAAATTTTTTTTACAACATGCAATAATTTCCCAATACAGTACAGTACAATTTATTCTAGAAGTACACTTAAAACATGTAAGCATAAATGTCTTTATTGTTAAAACTAAACACATACCCCAATGATCAAAATTAAAATGGCAATTTTTAAATGCAACTGTGTCTGTGGTTACGAACACTCTGACAACAGATTACAAATTAATGAAAGATTTAACTACTAAAACTTATTTTTTACATACATATACATATATGAAACAGTTTATCGAGCCTAGTACATATAGCATACTTATATATTATGTTGTTTATGTGATCAGAATAACATTAGGTCTATTTATTCTGCTTGAATCATTGCATTTTATTCATGTAAACATAGTGAACAAACTTTGATTAAATATTGATGTCCATACCATGTGCCAATCTCTCTTCAAACATGGCATTGCTAATTGAACTGGAATATTTTTGAGGTCATCACTCAACAACACAAGTAAAAACATAATGTGTGAAACTATGTAAAACATCACCTTTATAGTTTTGATTATTTTAGAATGTACATTATATTTCCAAGTTTTAGGGAAAATACCAAAATTAATATACAGTGTTTATGAGCACATCAATTAGTTTGGCATATTTTCAACTAATTAAAACATAGGTCAAACCATCAGTGTTATATACAGAATATATAATAAGAACTGTTTTATACCAGGAATATATAATCTATGGTAATTCAGAGAAAACCATAAATTGTGTTACTACTATTTATATTTATGTGTCAGTAAAGCACCCTCAATATATTATGTATTAATTGTTTTTTCAATCCACATTAAAAAAAGCTGCAACTCAATATACAGACTAGGTGATAGTAATCAGCTAAATTATATTTTACATTTTCCTGTTTTTGTTTATTAAGTTTTTTATAACTTTAAAATCAAGCATACATGGTTTAAAATAATGATTTTATGTTTTTTTTTTTTTTGAAAATATGATGCTTCTCTCGGTTTAGATTTTATTAACTGTCCAACATTATTTTCATTTACCTTCTTACAATTATGAAATCAGAAACAATGACGTATGTACTCTAATAATGTGATTGTTTATTTCACCAATATAATCGAAACATAACATTTGAAAATAACAATTAGTCACAAAGTTCACAAATATTCATTTTGACAGGAGTCATATAACTACTTCTCACAATTTTTTTCTCATATACAGATATGCTTAAGCAAATTTTAAAGAAATAAAAACATATTCTTTTACAGATAATATGTTGACATAATATTTTTAAAAACAGCAAAAAATTTATATTATTTTTATAATGTTATCATATTATGTTCACAAAAGGGTTGAAAAATAATTTCAAGTAACTTAGATACATATTTCAGTATAATGTTATATTATATATTGTGCTTTAGGATAAATATCTACAATGAAGAAACAGGTACAATTTTTCGATACAAAGTTGGTGCTGATTAGGCAATAACTTTATAAATTTATGACACTCATACATTGCAGATACAGTGAATTGGTGGCGGCTTTAAGAAGCTATTTTTGTCCGTTGTTGTCATGAGAATAACACTATTTTTCCCAATTTTTAAACTAATACAAAAGAATAAATCAATAGATACCATAAACAAGAGCATTAGGCAATCTACAATCACATTTCTTGTAAAATTCAATTGGGCTCAATTTAAAAATTAACATTAATCAAATACCTATTACTCAAACTGAAATTTAAAAAAAAAATTGTAAACAAATTTGTAACTTCTTAACAATTTTTTTATTCATATACAGAATATAAAAAATACTGTATATGTTAATTTAAATGATGGGAATGTATAAATATTTCAGGCAAATTGTCAATATTATAAGAAGTTTTTGCTTTTTTTGATATTATACTAAATAAAAGTAATGTTATTCTCATAGCATTTTTAAAAAGGTTATGACATATCTAGCTCACAGTCCAATCAAGTCCCCAGCGTTCAGATACTTTAAGTTGTGCTGCCGCAGCATCCTTTAGTGAGAATAAATGTGTCATTTCTAATTCTGTCTTGGCCAATACAATTGCTTTTTCAAAAAGCTCTAACGATCGCCTTAGATTCCCTCTGAAAAATAAATATTTTTTTATTTGGCAACATTTACTAATATTATTCACTTCAATAAATCTCTTTATATATCTATTACTAAATAATATGATGTACTTCAATGAGTTTTTAAACTTTACAGATAAATGATTACTGAAGTAAAATATCACAACATGATAAGTGTTATCTAAGCAGAAATCGCATACTTGAAATTTCATGGCTTTCTGAATGTTTATTCTGAGAGTGGATAACAACTCTTTCATCATATTATTCTATTTCAATATATTTTTTAACAAATTGTATGAAATTTTTAATTTACCATATCAATAAAAATTTTGTTCTGATTATATAATAACTTTAGTAGTCAGCACAAATTAAGTTATAAAACTAAACAAATTATGTAAAATAAAGTAGTTGTGCTACTTCAAAGAAAGTAAGAAATGGTTTGCTGTTTGAATATGTAGAAATAATGAATGAGAATGAGAAAAGAGTGACAAAGCAAATTTATGCTAAAGTGTGAAGCAGAGTCAGCAATGGATAACCTAGATGGTAGTTTATCAACTAAATTGCTGATAAACTGATGATAGGCCAAATTAAGAGAACCCTTAACCGAAGAGCCTAGATGCATAGATGTATGAATGTTAAAGCAGTGAGAGAGTAATGTCAGGATTGAGGCAAATGGAAGGCCACAGCTCTTTAAGTGACAGGTGTAAGTTTATGTATGTATGCATTATTATGTATGGTACTACTCACCGTTGTACTTCTATGGTGCCTAAAGTCTCATATGCAAAGTCACATTTGTCATCCATTTCAATAGCTTTATTGATTAATTTGACTGCTTTTTCAAAATCTGTACTCTTTTGTAGTTGAACTAATCCTTTGTGAACATACAGAGTAGCATTGTTAGGGTCAACTGATAAAGCAGAATCAAACAGTGCCTCTGCGCGTCCCCATTCTTGTTGATCTGATAACACTTGTGCAAATAAAATATAAGCTTCAGCACAATTTGGAAATTTTTCTAAAGCACGCTCAAAGTCAGCTCGGACTTGATTTAAAGCACCAACATTTTTATTTAACTGCGCATGTCTATAATCAGCATAGCATTTTTGAATGTAAGCAATTGAAAAGTCAGGATTCAATTCAACAGCTTTTGAAAATTCAGCAGTTGCCTCATCCATACGCTCCAGGAGCAAGTACACCTGACCTCTGTGATGATATATATCAGAATTGTTAGGATCAAGTTTTGCAGCATTTGCAAAGTCTTCCAGGCACCGCTCAGTATTTTCCAGCTGTGTGAAAAGTGATGCACGCTTAATTAAAGCATTGACTTTCACCTTCAAAGGTGCATCACTGTCAATAATTTGCCCAAGATCAGCCTGTGCTTCATCATGTCTACCAAGAAGTAAATAAAATGTGGCACGAAGAAGCAAGGCTTCATATTTATATTTCCCATCAGCTTCTAATTCTTCAGTACAGGAATCTACAACTGAATCATAGTCTTGAGAATCAAGTGCTTTCTTAGCTTTTGCAAAACCACCAGTTATATCTTTATCTAACTGAATTTTCGCAATGGGATCTTCAGAGAATGCAGAGAAATAGGTCTTTATAAAGTGCTTCGCAGGCATTACTGGACGTCTTTTAGCAAGAGCCTCTCGTGCATGTTGTCTTCCTAAAGCCTTTAGAATACGATCTGCATTCACTAGAGAACTTTGCACTTGAAATCTTTCAAGAATACATGCTGAAGTGACATCTTCAAGAGCAAGAACCAAATCCCCACTTTTCTCGGCAGCACGTGAGCGTCGGAGAAATGCTTTTACATACTTCTCGTTTAATTTTAATGCAAATGTACAGTCTTCTTTAACCTGTTCCCACATTTCTCGTTTCTCGTAACAGGCCGAACGATTTTGATAAAATGTTGCTAAATCAACAGGACGATCCGGAGGACATGCTTCAATTGCTTCGTTGTAAAGAGCAATCGCTTTATCGTATTCTCCAGCATGAAAAGCTCGGTTCCCGGCTCCTTTCAATTTCATAGCACGGTCGATAGCACTTTCAGTCGCCTTAGCATTATTTTCTTCATTATCCAATGAGATAGTTGTTTTTGCTTTTAGGTCAGCCACTTTTTTCTTTTCAGAATCTTCTAGTCTACTTCTTAAATACAGGTAACCTAGACCGATAGCTAACGGCGCACCAAGAAGGATAGCCATTTGCCATTTAGGAAAAGGTGCACTGCCGGTTGACGCCATAGCCACGAAAAATAATATAGAAATTACTGATTCACCATTTATTTCGTTACCGCGGAGTGATATTGGCTAAATAGATTTAGTGCTTTTACACAAGTATAAAGTTAAAATAAGTACCCATTACCATGTAGCCATAACCAATAATTATCATCTGACATTAGTTTATCTATGATCTGACACTATAAAATATTGTTGCCACTAGCGAGAACCATGAAAAGTTATTTCAGAAATAAAAGGAGATAATACAACGAGAGAGATATGTATTATGTAATAAGGAATAAGGATAAACAGCAGCTATTTAATATTAAAAACAATCCTATAATTGTTTCCTTCTGCATGTTATTTGATTTGATTAAGTTGCATTTTGTGTTACTATAAAAGGAACAGCCTACTTTATAGTGTATGTGATTTTTTTATGGAGTACGGGTAGCAAACGAGCACAGAGGCTACCTGATGGTAAGTGGATACTGCGCTACTGTGATATAAATCCACATCTGTCCTCAATTAAGAATCAAAATACAGAATGCGTTGTTAGCCCTGAGGTCTATGATGGAATGACCCCCCCCCCCCCATACCACAGCCCACCAGCCTTTGGAGTATGTATAAAATAAAAAATATAGACAGACATATTTAAAGACATAAAGACCAATACTTCATCTTCTACACACATGACAAATTACATTACAATTAAAAATAAAACAAGTGACTTATAAACAAACAAACAAACAAACAAAAATTACAATAAATAAAAGAAGTGCGTCATTATATGTATATGCAAACGCGCATTAAAATTAAAGTAAAAAAATTGTGTGCTATGATAAAGTTGTGGAAGGGACCGTCTCTGCATAAGCGATGATTTTCAGCCGACCCCGAACAAGTTCCGACGGTAAACTTTATAATAATAATAATAATAATAATTAATAACAGTTGGTCTTAATAACAGGATCAGGTTATTAAGACCAACAATTATCGGAGATACATCCTAAAGGATGGCACCGTCGACATCTGTCGAGCTTGTCGCCATCCCGGTGAGTCACTTAGGCATGTCATCTCCGGTTGTTCGGCGCTTTCTAACTCTGAGTATTTGCACAGACACAATCTAGTAGCCAGGATTCTACACTAGGAGCTCACTCTGAAATACGGTCTCGTGGATCGGAAACTGCCATATTATAATTACTTGCCGGAAGCCGTGCTCGAAAATGACCGCGCCAGGCTCTACTGGGACCAGGCCATCATCACAGACAGGACTATTCTTGCGAATAAGCCTGATATTGTGCTGATGGACCGGGTACAGTCAAGGATATTTTTGGTCGACATTACCATTCCTTATGACGAGAACCTCGTGAAAGCCGAAACAGATAAGCTGACAAAATATCTGGACCTGGCTCACGAGGTGACCGACATGTGGGGTGGTCTGCCGGCCGAAATTATTCCTGTGGTCGTTTCTGCGAACGGGTTAATCCCAGTTAGCCTCTCGGGTCATCTGAGGCGACTGGGACTCCGTGACGGACCGCTCCAAGCTCAAATGCAGAAGGCGGTGCTCCTAGATACCGCCCGCATCGTCCGCCGGTTTCTTTACCTTTCCCCCTAACCCTCGGCCGTTTGGTCTCCCCTGCCGAGGGCTTCCATCTGGTTGGATTTTTTATATATTTATGTATTTTTTATGTATTTATTCTATTTTATTGATAGAATAGAATAGAATAGAATAAAATGATTTTTATTCAATATGGATTATTACATAATACTTATTGAAAGTCATTATTTTATTTACCACTGGTTCGGAAAATACCTCTGTCCTGGGAAGAACCAGCAAAAAACCCAGCGGGACTTTTTTTTAAACATAATTTCACTTAAGAATAATTTTGTTTATACAATTTTAAATGAATTTTCATAGAACCAGCATGGTGGCGATCACCTTATTCCCAGGGGTTATTTTCATTCATGTATTCCTTGATATTATAATAACCTTTTTTGTACAGTTTTTCTTTAATAAAACTTTTAAACTTGTTTATTGACAAACTTTGAACATGTTCTGGGATTCTGTTGTAAAAGCGTATACATTGCCCCATAAATGAGTTACTAATTCTGTGGAGTCTAGTAAGTGGCATTACAAGCTTATGTTTGTTCCTAGTGTTTAAGGTATGAACATCCTTATTCTTATTAAAGCTATTTATGTTTTTATGTACATACATTACATTTTCATAAATATATTGCGATGCCAAAGTTAATATGTTTATTTCTTTAAATTTTTCTCTGAGGGACTCTTTACAATTTAGATTATAAATCTCCCGTACGGCTCTCTTTTGCAAAAACAAATATAGCTTCAATATCAGTCGCATTACCCCATAGCAAAATTCCATAAGACATTACGCTATGAAAGTAATTAAAATACACTAACCTAGCTGTCTCAACATTTGTGAGACTTCTAATCTTTCTTACAGCATATGCTGCAGAACTAAGTCTGCTTGCTAATTTAGATATATTGGGGCCCCATTGAAGTTTCGCGCCAATAGTAATACCGAGAAAAACAGTGGTATCCACAAGACTCAACTCCTCCCCATTTAAGAGCGCATTGGTTTTCGAATGTTTTACATTAGGTATTGTAAATTTAATACATTTTGTCTTATTGCCGTTTAAGAGCAAATTGTTGGCGTTAAACCAATGTACTAGTTTCGATAGAGCAGTATTTACATCGTCATATTTATAGATATTTATGTATGTTTATATATTTCGTTTACAATTATATATTTAAACAGCCCAACCAGATGAGAAAACTTTATTGATAACCCCCATAATAATATGTTAATGATAAATATATGGCTATATACGTATATACACATACACACATATATATATATATATATATATATATATATATATATATATATATTAAAAGTGACAGAAATATAGACAAGTATTATAAATATATGTCGGAGCGTCTATAAAATATCACTTGGATCGAGGTTGACATGAGGGTATATCGTGAAACCCCCGCTTGTTTGTACAGTATAGAGTTCACTGTAGGTGCCGTGCGCGAGAGATTCCGCTTAAGGCGCAGGTTGAGCAAAATGTCGCGCTAGTCGTTATTTGTGCGGTTTTTTGGAGCTATCTACTTTTTATTTAAAAGATATATCAACAAATAAAAAACACATTATATTTCTACATAATCTTGATTCCATAAAAGCTATATCCAATTTTTTTTAAAAGGAATAAATATTAATATAATCTCCTTACAACGAAACCACATAAATATGAAATTATTATTGATAACATGCATCTCCTCGTAAAGTAAGTATTATTTTATTTTGCGATTTACACCAATGGATAGGCAATTTATTAATGAACATTTCTATCGTAAATATTATTCAAAATACCAAAATTTGTTTTTATTAAGAAATTATTTTAAAATCTGGGCATATTCACTGCTCACGGGCTTGCTGAAGTCAGTAAGCGCTGAGCTCTTCGACGTGAAGCCCGTGTCGTTAGAGCGTCGACCAGCGCATATACTCACGTCATATCAGTCGATAATATTCTTACTTATTAGATTATTTATAGGTAGTATTATTTATTTGTTTTGGGTATAATTTTTCGTATTAGTTATACATATATTTGTTGTGTTTTTTACTGCGCGATGAAGCTTTTTGCGTATATTTTCTTTGAAGTAAATGCAAATAAAAAAAATGAAGCACCATTAGCATGTAAGGTTCGAATCCATAATTAAAATTTCGACAAATATTATAATTTACACTATAAAAGGTTAATTCAATATTATCACCCAACCACAATATCTTATTAGGTACAGTACTGCCTCGTTGGTCTAGTGGTTGTAGTAGTGCGACTGCTGATCATGAGGTCCCGGGTTCGAATCCTGGGTCGGGCCAAAAAGTCAGTTATGAGTTTTTCATATATGTTCTAAGTTATAATTAGTATTACTAAGTTATAGTTTTTTGCTAAAATATAGTTTATTATTTATTGCTTGTTTTTTCTTCTTTTTCAAAAAATAATTGAGTACATAAGATGTTCTATACTTATAATTCGGTAAAAAGTATCTAAGTAGGTGCTAATATACCTACTTTTTACTATTAACTAAAAAATTTTAAAACTAAATTTAACTAAAAAGACTAAACTGACCATTTATTTTTTAACTCAAAACAGGACATGGGTTTATTTATACTCTATAAACTATAACTTTATACAATTAGTGTTCACTATAAAATTATATTCGGTATAGACGGTAATTATTAAATGCAACATATTTTTTTTATTTATCAATTACATTTGTTAGTGGATTAAATTTCCTTTAATAAAGTTGGTGATGAATTTAAATAAGAATAAAATTCTGCTCAAGTTTTTTTATTGTTATCTTTGTTAACAACCGTAAGTGTTTCTTTCAGACGTCCACAATTTATTCAAAATAAAAAAAATACTCTTTCTACCGGAGCATTCGTACCAGGTAGACATAAAATATATTCGATTAAAAAAATTATGTTGAAGATTGTTGACTTTGAATACTTCCATCCAACGAGTTATGGGACAATTTTGTGTCCCGGAGCTTTGTTTGGGGACAATGGGACAGGTGACCGAGAAAAGGGACAGTCCCGTTCAAAACGGGACGTATGGTCACTTTAGCTTTAACCCGGTGACGGCTCCGTGGCGCAGTGGCTTAGCAATCAGTTGTTGCGCTGGGGGCCGCGGGTTCGAATCTCGCACGGAACAAGTATTTGTATGGCCTACAAATAATTGTTCCGGGTCTGGATGTTTGTCCTTGTGCAATTTATGTTTGTAAACTGCCTCCACGACACAGGAGAAAATCCTAGTGTGGGGGTAACGTTTTTTTACAATTGAAATTGAAAGATTGAACCCTTATACTTCTTGTTGATTTTTGTATTACTTTTATTAAAGTTACCCTTATGTATAAATAAATACAATTACGTATGTAGAAATAAAATTGATTTTCATCCTCATCAATCATTGGGGGAGGATAATGTCTGCCAGCATAAGTA